GATAAAATCAGTCTGATACGACTCACTTCGGACAGAGAGGTGTTCACCTTCATCGAGCGTCTGCCAGATGCAACGAGAAGGGATTACAACCTTCTGTGTGAGGCTCTGATCAAAGAGTATGACTCTTGCACGGGACCTGCTGGTTTTCCAGCCGCTGACAAGGTCACGCAGGGCAAGAATGAACATCCAAAAGTTTATTACAAAAGAATCTTCCAAGCTTATTTTGGTAACAGAAATGAGACCGGAATGGAAGAAGATGATGGTTTTAAGTTTGTTTTCACCAAAAATCTCCACTCTGATTTTAAAAAATCAGTACAAATGATGGCAAATTTCAGAGAAAAATCCATCAGTGAGATTAAACAGTGTGCTGTGAATGTGTTTGAAGCATGTTCTCATGATAAGACGCCCATTGAAGTGTTTCCTAGTGTAAAGGTTAGACCCCACTCTCTTGAACTGGAAGGACGACGTGCTTCGCCACCTCCTCCTAAGAAAGAGAGAAAACAGTCTGTTCAAAATAACAAACCACGTAATGAAGGTGCACGTTGGGACAAAAATGCTCCTCTTTCAGAGGATGAACGTGATTATCGTAAATGGGGTAAGCGCAGGACGCAACGATATGAGAAACCATATCGGCAGGGGCAGTACGTAAAGGAACCCCCGAAAGACGTACCTGACCGTCCCCCACCTCGGACGAAACGAACCGAGGCGAAAAAATCACAAAAGTTCCAGAAACAAGGCCCTACACCTCTGAACTCGGAAGAGACAGAGAAAATACGCAGGTTGTTAGAAACTTTGAAACACACTGACACGGGAACCCAACCAGGAGCACTTTGCAGTGATGTAATTCCCATTACATCTAATGGCGCGAATGACAACATAACAGATGTCGGTGAAACACACCAAGACATAACTGTTGTTGACTCAAACAACCCCTCATCTGAAGAAGGGGGGGTAAACACACACACAAACGATGACGAGTCATCGCAAGCTGAACACTCAGAAACAGCTTCTGCTGTGCTGACGGTTCAGACAAATCAAGATTACACAGATAAATCTGAACGCGTGAAGAAGCGTCAGAAAAAACCCAAGAGGTTTCTGTGTAACTTTATCAGAAAGGGGGCCGCCAAAAAGGCGTACCTGTCAGTAACACTCGAAGGTGTCCTCACACACGAAGCACTCTTGGACGGTGGGGCAGACATAACAATTATGTCAGCTAAACTGTTCGAGGAGCTGAGGACGGCCGCTGCCAGTGTTAACAGGATAATACCTCTCTCTGAATGTGCTATAGAAATGCAGGGTCTCTCAGAAATGAAAACAACCCTGACAGCTATAGCAATGGTTCACATGCAGATTGGCAATATGACACTGTACCACCCGGTACACGTGACCCATGTTGACTCATTCCCATTTTTGGTTGGCCAGGATTTTATAAATCGCTTTAACGCGATTATAGATTATGGTGATCAAACAATGTGGACAAAAGTGAGCAAACCACTGCCAATAGATACGCCTCCGGAGTGTGACACAGACTGCCCAACAGCAGGTACCGCGGAAGGCACAAAGGACTCCTCAGCCGAGGACACGAGCCCGGTGAGTACTCCTCTAACACCATGTGAAACCAAAGAAACCCAAGTGGTCCAAACTCTGACTCAACAAGACAGCCTCCTCTGTGAGCTGGAACAGTCAGAGTCCACCAAACACTACCTACCACTGGTAGTTAAGGGTGT